TATGTTCATTGCTTGTAAAAATAAGTAAAAAATAAAAATAAGACCTGTATTACCTTAGAGCCAAATGACAACTCACGACCTCGCCCCCTGCTGGTCACGGTCGGCCTCTGCACAGGATGCCTCACCTTGCCTGGGTGATTTTCTCATCTTAGTCTCAAAATGCTTTGTTATAATAGTAGCCTATAGTTTTATTCCATATTTTCTATCTCATTCATAATAAAAATTTTAGTTTTATGAAATAAATCACAGACTAATAAGGCAGATAGAGGGAAAAAAAGTTTAAAAAATGCTTCTTTAGTATACTTAAAAATATTAGCTCCACATGCAACTCCAGTGTGAAATAATAAGGTGGAGAATTAGGTAATTAAGTCCACATTCCGTTTCTGGGTTTACCTCTCTAATGCTGGGTGGCCTGCCTTGACTTCCTCAGGGAGATATTCAGGACAGATGAGATAAGAATCTGGCAATCAATTGATTTCTTTGGAGCCCAAAGGATACTTTCATAAGATCATGTTATCAGCATAAGTATCATGAGTATCAGCAAGAATTGGTGGTAAACTCACTTCTGGAACAAAAAGATGGCATATTTTAAAACTGATGCTTCTAAGAAGGAAATGTGCTCACGAGGGCGTGTGGTTTGTATCTGTGACCGTTGAAAGCCAGCCCCGCTGACAGCAGTCCCTGGGAAGAGGACTGGGCAGACTCTTTTCCTGAAACATTTGTGCCTCATTTGAGAATTACTAACAGCCCTGGTCAGATAACTCCTTCCTTAAGAATTCTCTAAGAGGCTGAGTCAAAACATCCCCCCACCCAGTTTCTGAAATGGAGCCAAATTCCACGATAACAACTAACTCGTAACAGACATCATAAATTAAGTCAAGCAGGCAGAGCATGGTTAAGCAATTTCCCTTGCAAGGTCCATCTGCCTGAGCCATCAAAGGCCATCCAGATTTGAAATATGTAGGGTGGGAAGAACCTCAGGATGGATTAAGAGTGACTGCCACGCAAGACAAGGCAGTTTCCTGGGAAGTTGAGTTTAGAGAAGCGTGGCATTTTACAGATGGATTCAGAAAAGCATGTGGTTTCCTACTCTTCAAAATGTATTCTCCTGAATCACTTACAGATCCTGAAACGTTCTACCAGAGATATAGAAAAAGGGAGCCGGCTATAAGAAAACCTTTCCAAAAACAGAGAACAAACACAGGCAAATGTGTGGGAGCAAGGAGGGTCCTTTTTAATAAGGCCTAATGGGTATTTCCTTTCCAAACTTCCAATTGTGACTCATCTTTATTAAGTCTTGCACTGTTTATTCTGATCCCAAATGCAGATCACAAGAACTGAAGATAACTCGCTGCAGTTACCATAGGAAGACATTTCATCCTTTTTTTTTTTTTTTGTATATTTTGAGCCTATTGAGGACCTGTGGTCACGGTGAGAAGTATTAAAGGAAATGCATGTCACGTTCATTTAAAAACACAAGTTTTGGCATATCACTACTCAAAGATGGTTAAGAATTATGAGTGAGAGGCTGCTGTCATAAGCTTCACCTCATTAGCATCAGTAAGACCCTCTCCAAAAGCCCAAGGGGATGAGGCAATGGTTCAACTCACAGAAGTGACCCCTGAGGGATTTCTGAGCTAGCGAATGAGGTTCAGAGATAGCACATAACATGAGGTCTACAGAAACTGGTGAATTATCTACCCAAATAAATGTCCCAGGAGACTTCCAGGGTAAAATGATAAATTTCTGCAAACCTATACTTCTCCGTTAGTGATTTATTCTTCCTTTCTCATTGTACAAATAGAATTTGCTGCCTTCCTAGCAATAGCCCCTAGCCTAATGCCTTATTTTTTCTATGGAAGTTGTGCAGATTCAATTCCAACTTCACATGAAGTCCTTTTATACTATAACAGATCTGAAATAGGGCTAGTTTCACTATTCCTGACTTCAGAATATAGCCTTATTTCTGTGGGAAAACCCCTGTGAACTCCAACCAGCCACACATTTTGGGGACTAGTGTTGTA